GAACCAGGAACCTTTTGATCTGTAGCCAGGAACTCTGACCACTAGACCACAGAGGCGGTCATATTTGGCTGAAAAATGTACAGGCTCCATTTCATTATTAAACAATATTATTGTAATTGATGGAATTAAATCTTAATTTTACTTATTATAAATAAAAAGAATTGAAGAAGGAACTAAAGGGACTTGAGTAGCCAGCTTCGTGTCATGGTCATTTAACCCGGGGAGAGTCAAGATTGCGAAAGGCTAATCTTATATTATTCAACTGAAAGCAAATTTAACTACGGTCTACCAACTTGAAAGCCCGTTCGGACAGACGATGAAATAGGAAAGGAATGCAATTTATCGGGAAGACGATGGTGAAGAAACTGACAATGTTGTGATTCAAGAAGTTATATCAATAGGATACGTCTGAGAAAATAGGTAGCTAACCTCAGTCAGGATAGAAAGGTTGCCCCAGTCTACATTTAAACCGGTACCTCTAAAGTAACAATTAGCGGATTTCTTCTTGGGCCAACATGTCGAGAAATACTGAAGTGGATCTTAGATTTTAGTTGGAAATATTGTCACGTGTAGACGAGGCTTGGATTTATTGCAATTTACATAGTCACAACTCGGGACTACAGGCAATACAGAGCTACTACTGATTTACACACTTTACAGTTCACTGATGCAGACAAACTAGGGTTCTCAGTCTTCTCTAGTCGTATCCTGGCAACGGATTTATGGCAGTCTCACTGTAACTTCAAAACATGAAGTCTTTTCAGAGCTTAATTATTTTCCTGCTATTTTCAATCATCTTCGACTCCCATCTGCAGAACTCGAACCACTTCTCGACAACATCTCAGTCAAACAAGTCAAAGTCAAAGTCACATTGTTTAAGTTTAAGCCTCTTATACTTTCTACGTCGGGCTTCGCCTTGTCCGATGTTGCGAACATTGCAAGCTTCTCTGTCTCTTTATAATCCCTTGGCACGGGCCACGCAGAAACCACGGTCTCTCTATTGTTGAGGAAGTGTGATTACTAATCCGTTGCTTAGCAATGAACGTCCTAATTTTCGCGCTTACGCTTCGGCGGGAATGTGTTCACCGAGTCGTTGCCTAACAATGGGCCTATACGTCAAATTTGTCAAAGTATGCTCGAATGCTCTTTATGAATCGTCAGGTTTCGTAGAAAGCAGGAATTATTTTCAGCTGAAAAGCTGTAGGAGGAAGAAGTGGTAATGGAGCAAGGAATTTTTTCACGAAGCATCGTATCTTCCAAGTTTATTTTCACCTTCTCTGCCAACAGTAGTCTGGATCTTGAGATGTTTCCTTGACACGATCATTTATTCTCACTTTCGTGTTCGGTAACCATGGCAGCAGGTGAAAGCCATCCATCCATAGCGAAGCTATTGTTGTAGATGAGAAACAATGGCTGGTTGAAAAGTTGCGGAACTACGTCACAGTGATGCACAGCGCCATTTCCTTGCACGCGCCATTGCAATCACAGAGAATAACACATTTTATTACATAATTAATTCTGTTCATCAAAGTTCATGCGATACACTGAATATGAAAGTATATTGAACTTGTAATGTTGTTTCTAGCTATAAAATTCTACATATACAGAGGTAGAAATTTGTTTCTAGAATCTGGAAGCCATGATTTGGTTACCAGGAGAAAATACCCTGCTGTGCTTCTCGCCTCAGTTCCTCGCCGAAGTTTCATTTTCTCCATTCGTTTTACTGTTCTAGAAAACCTTTAACAAAAGCAAAGGCTGTTTTAATTGTGTCAATATTTAATAAACTGGATGTGGTTCCTACTTCCCTTGTGCTGCAAGTATCAGAATGAGACTGATATAACTTCCAGACCCAACCATCGAATACAGAATGGGAAATAGTCGCCAGTCCCAGTGTTTCGTTGCCCGCTAGAGATGACCAAGCGACCGTAATTTTTTTACTCTTGTAGAATAGCAAATACGTATCAAGAATAAATACACACACGAAAAAAAAGAGGAAAGGAGAGACATGTATAATAGAACATACATAAAATTGGCCTAATGGTTGATGTTCATTTAACAAACTGTTGTGAAAGAATAGGAGTGTGATTATGGAAAGTATGCGACATAATCCGATCGCGTGTTACTTGGAGGTTGTATTCCAGGACTTCCTTGAAGGGACTGAAGAAAAGCTAGAAATCGTAAGAAATACTGTCTGTGGACTGAGATTTGAACGACAGTCCTGGGGGACACAAAGCTTCAGTGGTTACCGCGACCTTCGCTTGCTTGCCTAGAGCTCAAAACGTAAATAAATAAACAGTTGCATAAAAAATGAAAAGAACATAAAGATAAATACGTACATGCGCAATAAATACCAAAAAATGCTGTAACAAATAAACAAATGAGTACAAAAGTAGCTAGTAAATAAATACATTAACAAGTAAATAAGGAAACAAATTAAAGCAGGTGCTACATAGTAGGGACAGATCAACCACACATACTGGGCTTAGAAATAGATGTTTAAAGCAAACGTAAGTCTGCACAGTTCATAATGATGATGATGATGATGATAACGGAAGATAACGGACTGACAGACAGAATCCAACAGCAGAGTCCCGGAGGCTACAAACGAATAATAGAATTGAAATGTGAAGACTTTGCTTTGTGTGCTATTATTCCAGTAATAATATGGAGTTTTATGATTCTTTGTGGCTACAACTTAAACATATCCAATAAAACACCTCCGTCAAATCAGTAATTCGTTAATTATTTGTCACGGATACCCGGACATGTGACAATATGTAAGCGAACAATCACAAACTTTCTTCGAAAGACATAAGTCGGCTGATATATGGCCTATACACAAACAGAATGTCGTAATGAAATGAAATATGGAGCATGGAAGCGTGGATGTGCTCATGTGTGGTTGCTTCCATCCTTCAAAGAGAAAGTAAGGACGTGGTAACAGCTGCGACCAAGACAGTCAGGCCCTGCTCATGCACTCGGAAACGCATCACCCGACACCAGAATCCGAAATGGTACTCCTTATAGAAAAGTTGCATGTGCTTCTGGTTCCGGCTGTCCGGGCGCCAGTGGCTTCATGAACATTTCAGGGTCGGACCTGTCACATCATCACATCACTCTGTATGACCTGTATGAAACAGTATTTACAAAGCTGGCCGTCAGGGTATTCCCCGCCTCTTCTGGAACACAAAAGAGGGTTACCTTGTTCTCAACAATCCGCCATTGGACCCTGTCCTGAGCCAGATGAGTCTAGTACACATCCAATTCCTATATAATCCATTTGAATACTCATTACTGAGTTTCTCCTTTCGGTATGCTGACTATAAATGTACGCACATCTCATATATTCCCCATGCATGCTACACGCTCCTCCCAACTCATACACCTTGATTGAGCATTTTAAATTCATTAGGGAAAAATTAAAGGTTATGGAGCTCCTCAGTATGTAATTACCTCCGGTCTCCTATTACTTGGTATAAGCTTCCACTGATATCTTAAATAGTCGTGTGAAAAAACAAGAAGAGTCCTGTGGTAAATATGTGTACCACTAACCTGCCTTGATAGTAAATAATCGACTATTTCTAATATTAAGCGAATATGCCTATACAAACTTTCATTGTTTCAAAAATAAACTTTTTTTCTCAAACCACTGAATACTGATAATTTGGTAGCGGCTGATTTTCTTGTATGTAGAAACGGAATCTCAATATGTACATTCTCTAGAGTAGTGTTAAGTTGTTTTGAGTTCCGGATTTGCCTGAATATGAGGCGAGATATTTTCTCAAATACTTATTTCTATACAAGAGGGGTCGCCTTGTTTTCTGGTCGGTAAGAATAAATATGCAAGTAAGTATTAGCATGAAGAAAGCAGTCTTCTGGGATTTGGCACCGTGTATATGTGGTGTTAACCGACGTTTCGGAGGAACGTATCGCCCCCATCTTCAGGGTAGAAGAAAAAGTATAAGAAATCTGCAAGCGACAACACCATGAGAAACGGTAAAGCAGACTGCTTTACCGTTTCTCACGGTGTTGTCGCTTGCAGATTTCTTATACTTTTTCTTCTACCCTGAAGATGGGGGCGATACGTTCCTCCGAAACGTCGGTTAACACCACATATACACGGTGCCAAATCCCAGAAGACTGCTTTCTTCATAGTCACCGCCGTGAAAGCCTCAAATCTTACACAGGTCAGGGCTTGTTACAATTGCCTGTGAATGAGGGCCAGTAGGATTGGGTTGCCTCGTTCAAGCTTCCTACGGAATATGGGATGAAAATGTATATGTCAACACCATCTTTCGAATTCCAGGCGTGGGGGTGCAAGCCATTCCACAAAGGGGAGACTTTCACAATATTCCGAACTGAACGGACGTGACCCTTGTACGCTCCGAGACATAGCTTGCCTATAGTGTAACACTGTAACTTAAAGCTAAGAATATATTAATTTAACAATGTGGTGAATTAGCAGGTGAATAAACGTCAATTGGCTCAACTCTCAGAAAAACGCTTTATTCGGCATCGCTACCCTGAGACCCATGCAAACCGACCCAGCTAGTTTCCCGTACCTATACCGATCTTCCTTAGTTTGATCTGTGAGGACAACTTCCAGTAGCCATCATACACTGTCCTATGGTAGAAACAGGTGTAGCAGGGATAGCACCATTCCGACTGCGCCGATACAAGCAAAGGCGGGTTGGAAAAGAGCGGTGTTACTACGTCGTATCTCACTACGCGAGTCACACCTATCCTCTTCTGTCGGAGCACTCTTTAGTAGTATTAGTAGTAGTATTAGCAGTTATAATTGTTGATTATAAAGATATATACGAATATACTTAGAATTATATTTCAGGTTTCCGAATTTATTATTTCTTAACAGTACGTTTTCTACGTCTTACAACCCTCAGGACTAAATGACATAGTCAATTTTATTAAAAAAAACTCGTTTCCTCATTGGAGAAATAAGGGATAACCTTATATTCGGACGTAATTCTTCTTATTTTTAGGTTATGGACACATAGCTCCTAAGACACAATGGGGAAAAGTAGTGACGATCTTCTACGCCATCTTGGGGATTCCCATGATGCTGCTGTGCCTCTCGAATATAGGCGACATCATGGCGCAGTCCTTCCGCTTCCTGTACTGGCGGGTATGCTGCTATGTTTGCACCAGGAAGCCAAAGAAGGGACACTCCAGGCGGGGCAGAAGTTTGAGAGGCAGCAGTCGGCAGCCGGGGTGAGTAGATGGGGGTCACTCTGCTCTTTGGGGAAAGAAAGTTGAACCAGCATCTCCAGGAAGTCGCTTTATTTAGACTTAAAAATGAGGTAGAATCATGAAAATGGACGAAGTTACAAAGTCATGAGTTTCATAATTTGTACTTTCATGTAATAATGTTACGGTAATCTGCAATGTGTGTCTGCTGTGTTTAATTTACGTATTAAATAATGAAAGAGCTGAAACGGGCTACAAGCATGAATTATAAATTACAAAAAATAAAGCAATTAAAACACAAATATATGCAGATGATCAGGTAATAATAATAAATTATGAAGGTGAACTACAAAATTGCAATGCGTCAACTAGAAAAGCGCTGAACTTCCCACATAATCACTGAAGTTACAAGAATGTGTGAAATGCATGTTAAAAGAGGAAGTATAAGAATAGATTGAAAGGTGAAGAGAGAAGTAATCTGATTTTATTTACTTCGAAATCGTGATGTCAGAACTGAAGACAGCTGTTGACATAAAGTTACAATGATTCAGCAAAATATACTGTGTAATTACGGGATAGTTTTGCATACAAATCAGCTGAGAGAAAATTACCCTCATATAACATCGGGTCGTAAGAAGCTTTTGATTAGTGTAGTGACATCTTGATATTAAACCGAAAACAATCGCAGAAATTTGACGTCGCACAGAACTAGGTTTCAGCAAAATACAGCATAATTTATTAGAAAAAAAAAATAAAGTTACAAATATGGTCGAAAGCATTCACGAATAGCTACAGAATTTTAAGAATTATCTGGCAAGAATATATGAGGCCACCTTCCACAAATGAGGGGAGAACGAAACATAGGACGACCAAGACGACAATGGAGAGATTACGACAATTCTGGGATTCATAGGAACAGGTCTTAACGACTTAACAATATAAAGTTAATATTATGATAATGAGTTTGATGATGTACGGGGTAATGGAAAGTAACTGCAGTATTTGAACCATCATAAATAAAGGAAAAATTGGCAAGCATCGTACAGATGGAGGGTAATATTAAAATTATATTTTTAGGAACAGTTTATAAGTGTGTATTAAGCAGTCCCATGACGGGTCGAATTGCGGGTTTTTACAAATTGCCAATGAAACTTCAGGTTTCACGGACAGAATATATTGGGGTGATGATCTGATCAGTATGAAGTTCGGGTGATAAGAAACAGTTTCTATTAAATGGATAGAGAGTAATGTTCCATTGTCTACATTGCTTGGTAGATATTTACCTAAGTTTCGAAGGCACCTACTGCCTCCATATTCAGGGTAAAGAGGCCATGGCTGTAAAGGAAAAGAGGATTTTTTTTAGATATGAAGAAGTTTGGTTTGGTAGACAATAGACAAAGTTTCAGAGGTACTTGCTGCTTCCATCTTCGGGGCAGAAGAGTGGATACAATGATGATTGTCTTCTTTCCTAAGACAACTTAAAGTCTGGTGTGTATTTCTCAAAGTTTTCGTGGAACCTGTCCCTGATACCTCCATCTTCAGGGTAGAAGAGAAGTAACCATGAAGATTTAGGTCTCTTTTCTTACAGGATATCACCGCAGTGAAAGGGCACGTTTACAGCTCGCGCAGGCGCCCCAATCCCGTGGTTTCTTGCATTTCCATTGGATGCCGATTTCCTTGCCCACGTAAGCGTGAGCCTCTCAAACACAGGGAACACTACTTCGAATACCGATCAGTGCATGAGTATTTGTATGCCTTTGTCCTTAATTCCTGTAAAGCAGAAGTCTTGCTATGATCTGATCCCTCATCTAAGGACTCCTATTGCTAGTTTACATAAAGATCTTGAAAGCCCGATATACTACAGGAGGCCACGGTTCAAATATTCTACAGCTAACGAAGAAGAGCTCAGACCATTGAATTAGAAGTGTCTGTCAAATTAGGCCACGTCCATACTGTTCTCGATCTGCAAGCACTTCACAACGACCCTAATATGCCGACGCTTAGACTCCTACATATTATGAAGCAGATTGGTACAGCGACTATGCACCCAGTACTCGTTACTTTTACTAAGGTATTTCGTAATTTTATTCATTAATCAGTCATGAAGCTAACTTAAAGCAGACAAATAAATCACCTTATTCTTGACTCACTGTGCGTAATTCGACGCCAAACAACTTCGGTAGTTGATATATCGACATTAACTTTGACCCTCGTGTTATTACTGTTATTTAAGAAATACTCCTCTGCTACTGCACACCTGTCTCTAGGGAACATTACAGAAGGCTAGGGGAAAAGCAGTATGACGAATGCAAAATAATATATGAGTTTGTCGACCGGGCTTATTTGGCGCAAGACAGGGGACAGTGGGTCGGGGAGGGGGGGGGGTCATCAAAAGAATTAAACGAAATTTTGTGTTCCAAAGAACGCATGGAATTCTTTGATCAGCTGAACGACCTTTCGCTTCTCAACATGACTTGCCTCACGGAGGTAACGTTATTACTGAAATGGGACGTAACCTTACGATTTGCTCCTGTGTTTCGCCCTTTCCATTAGCAGCAACGATTTCCTAACAGAAACAAGTTACATGTTTCCTGTTCAAGTGACGTTAATATTTACACGTAACTGCTGTGTATCAATGATCAAGTCAAGGAGGTGAGCAGGGTATGTAGCACGAATGGAGGAGACGAGGAATGCGTATAGGATATTGGTGGGAAAGCCAGAAGGAAATAGACTACAGGGAAGACCAAGGCGTAGGTGGATGGACAATATTAGATTGGATCTTAGAGAGATAGGATGGGATAGTATGGATTGGATAGATCAGGCTCAGAATAGGAACCATTGGAGGGCTCTTGTGAACACGGTAATGAACCTTCGGGTTCCATAAAGTGGTCGGAAATTTCTTGAGTAGCTGCAGAATTGGCGGCTCCTCCAGAAGGGCTCAGCTCCATGAGTAAGTAAGTAAGTAAGTAAGTAAGTAAGTAAGTAAGTAACTGCTGTGAGATAGAGTGGGGCATTTATTGACTGGCATTCTCAAATACGAAACATCGCAAGGGACCTCTACTACCAAGTGACGAATGAAAAAGATGAAAGAGTCAAAGAGACAAATAATCGATATTTCTCGTAAAATATATCCTCTCTATCGCTTCAATCGATATTACACCTTCACGGATATTGCAAACTGCTTAACTGAAGCTCCTCGTTTTCTCTTCCCAGTGAAGAGACCTGGGTTCAAGTCACGGCCTCTTGTTAGGTTTGTCTTGGTTTCCCACAATCACACATGACAAGAACTGAGGTAGTGTCACTGAGCAACTACGCTCCAGGTTATGAACTGTATTCGCGGGTGTTCGATTCAATTCTGCCACAGGGCACAGGATATCCTGACTGAGGTGTTCCGTTGTTTTCCTCAGCTTATTAATGCAAAGGTCAGGACAGAACCTCTGATTAGGTCATGACTGCTTCTTTCAATTTCTCTTCCAATTCATTGTTTGTTTATCGTCTTATTAGTCATTGTATAGACTGGGATATTGGCGGCATCTTTAACAAACCGTAACTAATGGACAGCGCGCCACAGTAGCCCACGACCGCTTCCTTGCCTTTCCTTGCGACGTCTTCGGTTTTCCGTTTCCAGTCGTTATTCCGTCAATGTCCCGAACTGCTGCTTTCTTCCTGGTCATCAAGAGCCCATTTTAGGCAGCAGTAGCAAGGGGCATAGTCCCATTCATATATTCTGTCAAGAATGCCGCATGTCCATGATACTGATACAGTACTCAACACAGAAAAATGTTTCTATAGGCCTAATCGCCATCTTACTTATTCTTCCTCAGAGCAAGATATTCCGGTAGGTCGAGGACTGCTTCGTTTCGAAGATCGGGCCGGACTTCACAGAGGTCCGCCGACAGCGCTCTGGGGCTTTCGGAGTGTCGGTCCTCCTATTCGGACACGGACTGCAGGTATGCCCACAAAACCACCCTTAGCAGTTTGTCCATCGTGAGGTTCAGATTGGTTTGCAAAACAGTATCAGCTGCTGAGATAAGGCGGAGGTCTGTGACAATAACATAAGTGTGAACTGGGGAAAATGCCCTTTATTTGCCCGTGTTCTCTTTAAAATAAACTACGCTGGAATAATATTAACTGCTTTAAAACTCATACTTAAGGCTTTAAAACTACGTTTATATATTGAAGCCTTTTCGCCAGAAAGCTGGACAAGCTAGGCAACAGATATGTATAAACGTGGTACAGGTCATATATGGCGGGACGACAGTAATAGGTCAAAATAAAAATTATATTCATCAGAACATTAAGGACAGAATAAATTCGAGGAATCCTTGCTATAGCTCGCGCAACGAACGATGGTTTGCGCACAGAAATATTAATCTGTTTTTTTGGTCAGAATCGTAATCACAGACAAAGAGACTGAGTTAAAAGTGGACAGAGAGGTGAAGCGGGTCAGTCTGCTTCCAAGCTTTATGCGGGGACAAATCGCCTGATAACGGCGAGAGATACCCCCACCACAATAATTTTTCCCTTCGCATTCCCCTCTCATGCGCGACCATACTCCATCACTTGTTGCGCGAGTCTAGTACCATTCAATTCCGGATCTCAGTTCTCCCGTCTGCTCTGCATGAGGGAGTTTCGACATTGTAATTTAACTCATTTGTGAAAAGACCTTGTAATTGTATCGTTATGGCATTATGCGACAATGAAGAGACATACATTTGTACATTTTAGAAAACATTCACCTTGCCTATTAAGGCATTTGTCTTACCTCGAGATGAGATTACCGCTACACTCGCTCATTCGTGACAACCAGCGACGCAATTCACTTGTGTTGAATTGCCCAAAGTTGCTTCTTTATTGGCCCAAATAAATGGAATTCGGGGGGGGGCAAGTTTGGGTTGTAGGGTGAAGGACCCAGCACCTATCACAGACTGCATTGCAACCACTCATATGGCGTTCCTGTCCAGCGTCTCAACGCCTCCTTTCAGTAGCTAGTTACACTAAAAGCAAAGCAAAACTGCTTCCTTGACACAATGCCCTCTCCATACAGAGACACAAATTCTAGGTTTAAGTCCTTTCATCATTCATGAGTAATCTGTCAGACGACAGGTCCACAGTCTCTCCCAAAACAGTTCCTCCCCTTAATGCGATCTAGAGATTTCTCCCTCAAATGAGAATGTCCTCTTCTGTCCCCAAGGTCATCCAGCATCTTCTTACGTCTTCTGGTTCGCATACATGGTGTCTCTGTTTTTTGAAAGAGACTATCCAGGAAAAATGATAATGTGTTAGTTTTTCCATTTGCTTTCCACATCGCAGTACAACAGCCGTTCAAACCACTCAGGTCACGCCTTTATGCATCCAAAAACAGAGTACTGAACAGACGTCCACATCGGACCATGTGTTAGGCGGAATTCAATCTTAAACGACTTGCCATATATAGAAAAGAATCTCCAGCAGTGACATCTTTTGGCAATATTCAGACACAGTTTATGTGTGGTTTCGGCTATGAGCACATTCACTGCCTGGCAGAAAAATGTTGTGTTGCCTTCCGTATGGGATTTCCCTTCCAAATATGTAGTTTCAGGTACAGAAATCTACAACTTTCTCTGTTGTTTGGTATGGGTGTCAGACTTGGCCTCTCATATTAAGGGACAAATACAGACTGAGGGTGGTTGAGAATAGGGTTCTCAGAACAATATTTGGACCTAGTAGGGATAGCACAAGTGACAGGCTTGAGGGCCGACCGTTCGAAGTTCGAGTCCGGATAGATTCAAGATTTTTCTCCCCTCCACGAAGTCCAGACCGGTTCTGAAAAACACCCAGTGGTTACCGTCGGCTATTTCATTGGGGCTAGAACGGCGGGGGAGTCAAACTGACCACTCACTTCCAACTAGTCCGAGGTCACGAATATGTTAATCTTTACCTCCAGTCCCCCTACAAGTCTTCACTGCCTAGTGCTTAATTACTTATGCACAGGGACAATTTTACCTTTATCTCGGGAGGAAGAAAGTACGTACAAGCTGAATAAACGTTTATAATTTGTATTCCTGGCCACATATTATTAGGCATATCAAACCAAGAAGAATGAATGGGCAGGGTATTTAGCATGCATAGGAGTGGACAGCAAGAAGTCTAAGTTATGGTGTTCAAACCGAAAGGAAGGGGATTTTGGAAGGCAGAGGTATAGATGGGAAAATAGTAAGGAACTCAAACTGCATGGAAAGGCGTGGATTGGGGTCACCTGGCTCAGGAGAGGCCCCAGTGGCTAACTCTTGTGAACACGTCAATACATTCGATTTGTTTCATTCTGGTCCGTCACACTAACAATTACAAAGGCAAGACAACTCCGCCCAGTGTGAGTATTGAAGTTGTTACTACTTGAAAACTACGCACCCTAACATGTTTCGGTCGCTATAGACCATCATCAGAGGGACATCGATACTTTTTTGGAAACTGCTATTACAATGGGTGTTTTGTGTGTTAAAATACATATACATACAATGTCTGTAATGCACAATACATACAAAATCCAAATTTTTCACAACTACAGCATCTTTCTTGGTATATTAAAGTTTTTAAAACTTTGTTATTTAAGATAAAATTTATAAACCAAATAGGTTCGTGTCCTTTCTCCTATTGTCTCTCTTGACGGGGGCTGAACATAAGACAATAGCAGAAAGGACAGGAACCTTTTTGGTTTATAAATTGTAACTTAAATAACAAAGTTTTAAAAACTTTAATATACCAAGAAAGCTGTTGTAGTTGTGAAAAAGTTGGATTATATATATATTGTGCATTACAACCATTGTATGTATAGGTATTTTAACACTCAAGACACCCATTGTGATAGTAGTTTACAAAATTATCGATGTCCCTCTGATGATGGTCTATAGGGACCGAAACATGTAAAAGTGTTAAGTTTTCAAGTAGTAAAAAACGTCAGTACATATTCGGGCTTTGTACAACGTTTCCAATTTCTTAACTACGTATATCCGAGTCACTATTAGCTACTGAAGAAGATCTCTGCTCCGTTTAATTCTTAAGACAGTGAAGTACATAATTAGTTTACTAACATTCTGCAAGCATGTTTATTACATCGCATAAAGAATGTAAACTCTAACGGGGCACTTGAAAGAAGGTACACTGAAGAAACCTCGAAGTAGGCCAACCTGTCACATGGAGTTCTCTCAAAATAAACTGAACTAAAATTATGGAACAACCCACGTCTTCACCAAGCCAGTTACATGTACAAAATCATCAACTCCTTCTTGCCTTGTTATATTATATTGCCATTAAAAACTCCTTTATAGAGTGTATTTCTACTAAATAATATACAAATATTTATTTCGTTCCCCAAAGGAAACATATTATGTCTCCGCTACAAAGACCAACAGGTTAATACTGTTCAGGGGAACAATCGCTGTTTACTGTCAGATCCATATGACACACACAAATATGCTCTGTGGGTAGAGCGTAGATTTTTGTTATGTTAAAGCAAGAGGTTCAGCACACCTGTGCCTTAGAGGGTTAAATATTTCACTTCTCAGTTGACAAGGTAAATCAACTGCATAAAGACTTCCCTACAAGAAACTGCAAGAAACAAAACCATTTTTTAAATTCAGATTCTAAAGAACCAGAACCGCCTTCCGTTATACGTTGCCGTGTCGCTTTATCCTTTAGAAACATATTTGGTTACCTAGCAACAAAGCAACACTGAGCGCATGACATTTCATTCGTTATATTACACGTACATGGTTTGCTAGCACACAGAGAAAAGAGGACTAAAGGATAACAGGGTGAATATATACCGCAGCTTCCTGATTGGGGGGGGGGGTGCTGTGGCATCTGTACAGGAATACGATAAGGAAAACTGCGGGCAACTTCAAATACGATTGCCGGTTCTTCTGTTGAGATTTCAACTGAGACCTGCTTCATGAGGGACACGCGGCAGCGTGCTTGGTTGAGGAACTATGCTACAAGCCGGAAGGTCGCGGGTCCCATTCCCGATGAAGTCCTAGGACTTTTCAATTTACCTAATCCTTCCAGCCCCAATATGGCCCTGGGGTCGACTCAGCCTCTAACAGAAACGAGTACCAGGAATCTTCCTGTGTGATAAAGGGCGGCCCGTGCGTAAAGCTGAAAACCTCACTGACATCTTTGAGCTGATTGTCTAGAAAATGTGAGAGTCTCTACTTCTCACAACCCTATGGGCCTCCACGGCCTATGGCAAGGACAGCTCTACCTTTTAACTTCTTTACTTGCTTATCGCAAGAAACAGACCACCGTTATACTGGCATTATAGGTTTAAATAGTAGTACATACGTATACCAGCAGCAGTAAACGTATTCATAATTTCTCCACTCTGTGTATTTTTTTACTGTGACGCATGGTACCGTAAACACACAGAAATAAACGAAAATCCGTATTAACTCTACCAGACAGATTTGAGTAAAGCAACCAATAAAACTATAACATTGATTAATAAATGAGCGGTAAATTGGACATAACTCATTGAGGCGCACAATCGCACGCGCACACACACACACACACACACACACACACACACACACACACACACACACACACACATATATGGCAGACACTGCACCTTATGTACAATAAATGGAAAGAAGAACAAATTTATGGCTGTCATTGTGGTATGTTCCCTATTCTAAAAGTATGATATTAAATTAAAGTTATATAGGCTATTATTGAGAGTTATGATCCCACATTAAATTTGTTGAGGTAATAACAAACGAACTGTTTAACATTTTTCATAGAAATAACTTGGCAGGCGATGAGAATGATGGTCTGCTTATTCTGATTCACATATCCCAACAAAACTTGTTAGAATAAAATATAAAGTTGCTCCTATGTCATTACTTAACACTACGCCATGAGGATATATGGGGGAGTGGAGCTATTGACCTCGGCACTAGATGGAGGTGAGTGG